GTGGGGGGAAGCTGCAGGCTGGGAGTGAGGGGCACCAGCATGGTCTGGGGGGCTGGGTACTGTGGGTTGGGAGTGAGGGGCAGCAGCAGGGCTGGGGGAGCTATGGCTTGGGAGTAAGGGGCAGAGGCAGGGCATAGGCATATCACTCCCCTCCCCCCCAGTCATATATACAGTCTCCCCCACAGGTGTCCTCTTTTTTGAAACTGGAAATATAGTAACCCTACGCTGGGGTGGTCTACCTTTGTGTTGTGAGATTATAAAATGGGAGCACGCCCTGCAAGCTCTAAGTGCATGTAGACCTAGATTGTCCTGTTTGCCTGCAGCCCTGTGTATTGGGCTGGAAGGCACTACTCCTGGAGGAGCGCAGGGAGAGATTGTGTTTCAGAAGACTCTCTCTCCTGGGGCTGCTTGGAATGCGTAGGAAGCTGGAAACCGCTGAGCTAGACCAATCCACCAGTGGTATACAGACAACCTGTCAGTGTTAACAGATTTATTATAATTACTTTATATGACATGCAGGGGTGCAAATGGTACTTAAGGCTGTATCATTTTAAATTGGTGGTGTGAAATCTGTCAGAGTTTGGGAACCACTAGCTCATTGTTTCTCAACCAGTTTGCCATGGCACGCTGGGATGCCTTGAGAGCCCTTCAAAGATGCCATGGAGATGCAATGTTAGCACTGTTGGTTATGCAAATGTGATTCACAAGATAAGCCTGAGGATTTCAGGAGAAAGGGTATTCTGATACCCAAAAGCTTGCCTATGACTACATTTGGTACAATAAGTCTTGCCTTTACATAATGTTAAGTACATTCAGACTTGCTGTGGTCTCTCCAACTTCTTTGCAACAGAAGAATTGCTCTGTTATTTTTCCGTAGTCAAAAAATGAATGAAAAGAGCTGGCATTTTTCAGGGGGTGCCTTGAGTCTAAAAAGGAGAACCACTGGTCTAACTTGTTTTCTCCAGGCATCATCTTCACTCTGGAAGCCAATTTGAGAGTCAGATATTGCTGTGGCCCAGCTGTCTTACTACTTCTGGGTGGTTTGCATTCTTGAGAAAACAAGGACCGGACATTTGCTGATCACTCTAATTCATATGCTTTGTACTCTCCCCCACCCACAACACCCTCCCTCACCTCTTCCCTCTCAACATGCACTCCTGCAAAAAACATTAAAAAACCCATTCCCCAGGGTACTGCACTGATGAACCTTCCATTGTTCTTAACTTTTCTGTCCAGAATAATTTAATCTGATGCCACTTGTTGGGCCTTGATGCCTCTCTGGAGATCATAGAATCATAGAGGTAAGTCTGGAAGGGACCTCCATAGCTCATCTAATCCAATCCCCTACCTGAGGAACAGGCATCCCTATCCAAATAGTCCTATACAGATCCATAATCTAACCTCTTAGTAAAACTACACAGTCAAACCTGACCCACCACAAGACATTAAACTCTAACCTGCCACAGATAAAGCAGGGGGACCATGGTGGTCAGCATCCTGCTTCTGTAAAAGGTGGTTAATATATGCTCAAAAGATCCATGGAGGAGGGCCACTCCCTGTCTCTCCCACTACAGAGGAAGGCAAAAAAACCACTATAGCCTATACCAATCTGACCATGGGGTGAAATACCTTTCTGACCCCAGATATAATAATCAATCTGACCCTGAGCAAAGACTGTCTAGTCTAGAACCTCCAGCTTTAAGTCCCAGCAGGAGCATTAGACCCTGGTCAAAATCCTCAGCTTGCATGCAACCAATGCCCAGTGCCTCTGAAGAAGACTTAAGAAAAAACCTGACATGCAACAGCATAACAGGTGGTGCATTAATTCCCTCCTAGCCCCATATGGCAACAGCAAAGCACAGAAGTATAGGACATAGCCACAGTAGAGCATAGACATAGCTATTCCTAGATCATCCCTAACCCCAGTGGCTGCCAGCCTCTTCTTGAACACTTCCAGCAATAGAGAGTTCACAGATTCCAGAGCCAGTCTGTTCCACTGCCTCACTGTTCTACCAGTGAAGTTTTTCCAGGTATCTAGTTTAAGCCTGCATTGCTGGAACTTCAAGCCATCCTACTCTCTGAAGCAAGAGAAAGTGTTTCCCTTCTTTTGTTTGGTAGCTAGGGCTGCACTGATATTTGGGCTGATACCAATGGCTGATTATTAACCAGCAATATCGGCCGATATTAGTCTGATTGCCGATATACAGCCCGGCAGCTTGGAGACTAGCATCTGGCTGGTAAGTCTGTGGGGGAGAAGGAGTGTGAGGGGGGCAGATTGAGGACCCCACAGTGAGAGAGGGCATGGTGCTGGGGCAGGGGAGGTGTTGCTGCCCTGGGGTAGAGTGCAGGACAGAGCTGTGGGGAATGCGGGGGGGCAGCTCCCACCATTGCATGCACCCCCCAGGGGAGGCACAGGGGACATGTGCCTCCTGGATTTGTGCACAGGATGAGGGTGGGCTATTCATTGAGGGCTGCACTGGCCTCTTCCCGGTGAGGGGGAGCTGGGCTGGGGTTATGCTTGGGGCAGGCATGGGTGGGGCAGGCAGCAGCAGTGCTGGGAGGGTGAACTACGGGGAGGCTACAGCCACCCCAGAATTTGCCCTAGCCACCCCATAGCACCCCTCCCAGCACTGCTGCCTGCCTCGAGCACAGTGGCCCCAGCCCAGCCTCCCTGCTGGGAAGAGACCAACATAACAGCCGGCCCTCGCCTCTACCACAAATCCGGGGGGCACGTGGTACCCTCAGGGGTGCACACAGCGGCAGGAGCTGCGCCCCCGGGACAAGTTGCCCATGGCTGTATCCTGTGCCCCGCCTCGGCTGGGTAGTGACTGCTCCTGCCCCAGCCCTACTCCCTTCTTCACCGTGGGGGCCTTGATCTGCCTCCATTGCCCCCTATTCCCTTTCCCCCCACACAGACTTACCAGCTGGATGCTGGTCTCCAAGATGCCAGGCTGCATTCCTGGCTGTATGCATGCTGTGGCTACACACATGCACATGGCATTTATTGGTGACATTATCGGCCATATCAGCCAAAAAAAGCCAATTGCCAATAATGTCAATTTTCCTTGTATCAGTGTCAATACAATATGGACCGATATATTGGTGCATTTCTAATGGCAGCCCTTCAGGTATTTGAAGACTGCTATCAGGTATTTGAAGACTGCTGTCATGTCCTTTCTTAAGCATCTTTTCTACAAGCTGAACATAGAATCATAGAAAATGCCTAGCTTCTTCAACCTCTCCTTGTATGACTTGCTTTCCAAGCCCTGTAGTATTCTTTTTGCCCACCTCTGGGCGCTCTCTAACTTCTCCACATACTTTTAAATATGTGGAGCCCAAAACTGCGCACACTACTCTAGATTGAGGCCTAACCAATACCAAGCACAGAAGCAATGCCAAGTAGAGAAGATGTCTTCAGGGTCTTGCACCTAATGATCTGCTCCCTGAGGGAAAGACCAGTTGAGCCCTCCAGCTTACCCTTTTGTGGTAATGAAAACATTCAAATAAAGGAAACAAAGTCCTTTGCCCAGGGTCCGCCTTGATCCCCTCTTGTAACAGGAGAGTTAAAAGGGACGTGTTTCTTCCAGATATGAAAGCCTTTGTCTAAGAACATTAGACAAGCATTGATGCGTGCTACAGGAGTGAAGGGTGTATTTGCATGGAAACTCCAAGCCAATCAAGGCACTGACAAAAAATTCTTTGGAATGGGTGTTTTTATGTGTATTGTAAACCCAAAGACCGTCTGCAGAAAAATTAGTGGCTGAAGCATGAAGGGTGGGGATTGAACTGCTGCTGAGTCCCCTTCCAAGAAGAAGGGTATTGAACTGCTGCTGAGTCCCCTTCCAAGAAGATGACCTGGCATTCTGATCCCTTCTGTTGATTTGTTTAACTTCCTCCTCCTTTTGAGTGATGAGATGATGTCTGTGCTTTTGCAGATGCTGTAATACTTGTGATGATGTAAGAGAAGCATACAGGAGGCGAGGCTGGGCCTTCAAGAATCCTGACACCATAGAACAATGCAAGAGAGAAGGGTTCAGCCAGAAAATGCAAGAACAGAAGAATGAGGGCTGCCAAGTATATGGATTCTTAGAGGTTAACAAGGTGAGGGAAAGCTCCCTTTGTGCCAGCCATCCTGAAATACCAGTGCTGATATTAACAAGTGAAGGCAGAGATCAGGAATTCTCTTCCTTGCGTTGGTTTATAGGCTGTCTCCAGAGGTAATGGGGGTTTAGGCCCTCTTGAGTGAGGAGAAGTAGACAGTGGAGTCATCTGGCAACAGGGACAACAGTAGCTGTTAAAGGCCACTAAAGACTCTCAGCCCAGGCAGTTGCAGAGATGTAAAACACAGTGTAACAGTATTACGTTCTTAAGAGATGGTTCACAGACACAGGAGCTAATCAGCTTGCCCAGCTTTTTCAGTTCTTCTCCATGATTAAGTATTTAAGTCCAAACAAGCCTGATAGCTATATAATTACCTAGTCATTTTGGTGAGATTACTCACCTACACCTATTACATGTGCAAACTGATGCTAGAAAATCAGGTTCAGCATACCCTTTGCACACTTTTTTTAAAGCCACATCTGCTCTCTCTGGAGGGCCACAGAATAAATCACTTGCTTTCTAACATAAGATTCAAGCTGGAGTTCCTGTCTTGGATACCGAACAATTTGGGGGCCTTCCTACAAAATATGGTGATAAATGAGAAGGAATTCTAAGAAGAGGGATAACAGGCTTGGATGGATGGATCCTCAAGGTAGTGGACCGACTAGGTGGTCATTTTCACTCTCCCTCTTACTTTAACCTCAGTCCACTAGCTTTTTTAAATTTTAACAGTCCCCAAAAGGCTCATTATGAGCACAGCCAGCACCTGTCAGGGCTTTGTTGATTCTGAGGTTATCTATTGTAACCCTCAAATCAAGTGATTTACTCTAAAATTAGAACAACATATTAAGTGGGGTTTCACAGGGATCTGGTCTGAATTCAGTATTATTCCATATTTACGTAAGTGACTAGGAAGGATGGATGGAAATGATACGAACCTGCGAGGCATTGTGTGCACTTTGAAGTACAAGATTAGAATTGAAAACAATCTTGACAAAATGGAGAATAGTTAGAAATAAATAGGATGTAATTCAGTAAGAGCAAGTACTCGATACTATACTTAGGCAAGAATAATCAACTGTACAATACAAAATGGGAAACAAAATCATAGTGTTGTGAAAGAAGCAAATGCTGTTTTGGGATGTGTACATGGAAGTGTTATGTGTAAGACATGGCTTAATCCTTCCATTCTATTTGGTGCTTGTAAGGTCTCAGTTGGAGTATTATGTCCAGTTTTGGGGCCCACACTTTAAGAAAGATGAGGACCGATTGAGGAGAGCAGTAAAAATAGTTGGAGGTCTAGAAACATAACCTATGAGAACATAGAAAATTCTGGGCTTGCTTAATCTAAAGAAGAGAAGATTGAGGAGAGGCGTGAAAGTCTTAAAATATGTAAAAGGTTGCTGCAAAGAGGAAGGTAGTTAAGTATACTTGTGTCCACTTGGGCGTAGGACAATAAGACATGAGCTTAATTTGCTGCAAGAGAGATTTAGGTTAGACATTAGGAAAAACTTTTGAATTATGAGAATAGTTAAGCACAGCCATAGATTATCTATGGAGAATCCTTTAGGAATCTCCATTTTTGGAGGCTTTTAAGAACAGGTTAGACAACATCAAGAAAGGCTTGTATACAGTTGCTCCTGTTTTGGGAAGGAGACTAGATTAGATGACCTTCAAAGTCCCTTCAGAATCTGTCTTCTGTAAGTCTTTGCTTCTTTGTAAGGTTGGGAGGTTCTAAGGAGGTTAGGTTAGGTATACAACTGCTATGAAAAGTCAGTAGCACCCAAATGCCCCTCAAGATCTTTTGAACATCCGAGACTATTCTTGTTTTTTCAGTGCTTTATTGTTACATGCAGCATCACTCTGGAAAGGCATGTTGCCGCACTGTTACTACAGTTTATATTACTTTCTCACCTTCCTTTTACTACAGGGTGGATTGATTTAAATCATGATTTAAATCACTAAGAGCCTGTCCTGATTTAAATCATTGATTTAAATCAAGTTTCCCACTGATACTTATTCACATATTTCTTAAACAGTGGCACAGATCTGATCACTAAAACATGTTAATTTACAACTCAGTACAGCATGTTACAGCATCTATCCTTAAACTTTTTTTTCTAATTTTCATATTTTATTAACTCTTAACAGACAAGCCATCACAACACTAAACGTACGCTGTCGTTAACTTCTACAACTAGATCTCATCTTCCCCACTCCCACTGTCATTTTTATTCATAGACTGAAACAGAAAAATGAGTTTTCCTGCTTTTTCAGCTCCCAGTTGATTTCTTAGCTTTGAGTGAATAATACCAAACAATGAAAATATTTTCTCTGTGCCTGCAGAGGAAGCTACTGCTGTGAAAAGTTGGCTTAGCAAGTGAAGGAACTCTGTTTCAAGGTGCCTGAGTAATGATTTCCACCAATTCAGGGCAGTGACTTCTTTCAAAACATCATCAGTAAACATGTACTGTTTAAATGGTTCCCCTCCAGCCCTGAAATGTATTATGATTGGCATAACTGAGGAGTGATTTTGAGACGCCCATGCCATGGCAACATCATCTTCTTCAGAAGTTAGGTATCTACTTTTATATCTGGGGTTGAGAATATTCGCAAGAAAATGAAGTGGAGTTAGTGCTTGATCCATTTGGTTCTTTATTGCCTGCAGTTTAAATTTCTCTTTAGGTATTTCTTTCTTCGATGTCTCTGGAAGTGCCTTCCAAATTTCGACAGCATCAGCAATGCAGCAACAATCTCTCTGAAGTTTGTTTAAAGCTATGGATATAGGCTTCAGTATACTGAGCATATCCTCTACATTCCTCTTTAATGCAACGTTACATACTTTGGATGAGACTTCCATCTGTTTTATTACGGTTTTCTTCACAAATTTTTATGAGAATAGGCCAGTTCTTAATAAATTGTTCAAAACAATCAACCACAGAATTCCTTCAAACATCTTGAGGGAAAGTTAGTTTGGATCCTTTTGCTCTCTTCAGTGAAGCTGAAGCAAAATGGTTGTTACGGAAGTATTTTGCGACTTCAGCAACATTTTCTTTTATTCCTGGAGAAGTATTTAAGTCTTTGGCTAAAAGATGCATTAAATGGGCACTGCAGCCATATGTTATTAAGGAGCATCCTTCCGTTTCTTCTTCTAAGTGTCTTCTCATCTTTGCCACGTTTGCAGCATTGTCTGTGACAAAATTGCACAAATTCCAGTTGAATTTTTGTTCACAGTTTATTACAGCTTTCACTGCCACTTCTTTTAAATATTCTGCTGTGGGCATTTCCTGATGTATCTATTGTTTCTGAAAGATATGCAACCCCATCTTCTGTTGTCACACAGGCACGTATTACTGGATCATTGTGTACGTTGCTCCACCCATCAAAGGTTAATCTGGCAAATTTCCCCTCAGTATTTCTTGCACTCTGTTCAAGTTCCTTCTCATACACAATATCTACCAACTTTCCACCAATGTCTGCTCTACCAGGTGGAGTGTAGCCTGGTCATAAGGACTCAACCATGTCAGTGAAGTGTTTTATTATTAACAATGCGAAAAGGAGAATTTGTGGCATAAATGAACCAATCATTTTTTTCATCTATAGTGTCTTGTTGGTATTTGCTGGTCTTTACTACCAAAACCCATCCATGGTGGTGGTTTTACTGGATGACTGAAATCTTTTGCTTGCTACTGATACTTTGTCATCTGAAATATGTTTAGTTGCAGAACTGCTGCTAAAAGTACCAACGGATGACTCTGAAGTTGTTGCAGATAAACAGTCAAAGTCTCTTATGCTTAAATGGGATCCTGAAACAAAAATGATTTTTGAATAGTCATTCTTCTCAGTTCTCACTGTTACTCAGTTAATCATTTAAATTTTTTCAGAAAGGTGCAGATCCAATTCCAAATTACCAAAAAAGCTAAGATTGACTGCAGTTAGAGTGGACTTAATTTTTGGAGTAAGCCTCATTGAACTCACTGGCACTTTTGTTTTTTGAGAAAATAAGTATAGGATGGGGTTCCCTTGGGAAAACTGAGTTACACTGAAGTAAAATAGGGAATAGACATATGTCATCAGCATTATGGTCTGGGGCCATGATGTTCCAAAATAAGGGCATGTATTATGTAATATAAAATAAGAAAATGACACCCAGTGGCAACTGGCAACTCGAGATTTCTCTTACTGCAGCTTTCTGTACCGTAAACTTGGGTGATAGATTCTAAACCTAGTTTACTAATTAAACAAGTCATAAGGATTAGCTAAGATAAACTTTTTTTTCTGGCAACATCCAACATAGCAAACAGCTTGGGAATTTACTTGTTAAATCACACTTATATTAAATGGCATAGAGAGAGTCTTGAAGAATAATGCATTGCAAAGTGAAAGATTTAATTTACTAACCAATTGATCCACATTGTTCTTCTGACACATCCACATCTTCATCCACATCATTTTCTCCCAATAAGCAGTTTTCATTATGATGTTTCATTCTTGCAAGTAGGCATTGCATCTTCTTCTTGCACTGCTTACACTTGACACATTTTCCTTTTTTACCCAGGGAAGGAATTTCTTCAAAATATTCCCAGATAGGGTCTCTCTTACACCCAGAAGCCATGACAGTTTTTCTGTGGCAAAAGTGTTGGGGAATATAGGAAGCTGTTTGCGTATTACTGAATAATGTCTTCCCTTTTTCTTTCCAGTCCATTCTACTGTTCCTTTTTACTCTGCCTCCATCCATTCCTATATTGTCTCTGTCTTTAACACAGTGTCTTAACTAACTCTTCTGTCTTGCTTGGCCCAGCTCCACCACCACATAAACACAGAACAACAACAATCCTATCCAACCTGTGTCTTTGCACATGTGACTTTAGTCTGCTGAGAAACAGAAACTGAAAACCCAGAATTTTCAAGAAACAAGAGCTGCTAGTTAAGCTGGACAGACAGACTAGAGCCATTTTCATGAGATGAAAAACTGAAATGAATGTCCATGTTTGTTTGGTAGGTAGCTCAATGTGTGTGTGTGAGAGACAGCCATTAATTCATTTTTATGAGACTGTAAGTGTAGATTTAGCATGTTTGTGTTGAGATTTAATTGTAACTAATTTTTTAAATGAGAGAGACATTTAGTATTTTATTGATGATTTTTTAAAAATCCAATTTTTTTTTAATCATTGATTTTATCCACCCTGTTTTACTCTGTTCCTTTTCTGTTGAGCCTATTTTCACCTTCCCTGCAGCAGTTGTCAGTTACCACCCCTCTAAATGTCATTCCT